CACATGGTGACTCACAACTGTCTGGAACTCCAGTTCCATGGGATACAGTACGTATGCGTATGGCCTCCGCAGGCACCGCACGGAACTGGTGTGCATACAGACACACATGCAAGCAAAACACTTGTACACATACAATAAATACATCTTTTAAAAAGGGTTCTTCCATAAGCCCATAGTGCCATTATTACACTAAAAACGGCCAGTAATTCCCTGATACCTAGAGCTGACTTCGTGTTAAAATTTCCATCACTAGTCCTCAAATGTGCTGTTAAGTGTATTTGAAGTGAGATCACTTTAGATTTGCTTTGGTTTCCTTTAATTCGACCATCGCCCACTCCCCAACCCCAGTTTTTTCCCTGGCTCTTTGGAGTAGCTGGACCCCTTGTCTTGAAACACCTGAGCACTGATTTGTTTGAGAGTTTCCTCGTGACATAGTTGAATCTGTTGTCCTCATAGCTGGATTTCCTGTACACTGGAAATTGGATTCAGAGGTTTGATTGGATTCCGGTTAAGTGTTTTTGGCAGAGTCCTTGCTTTTTACACTTCATCTTTCATCCCGTCAGGGGGCATAAAAGACCACAGGCAAATGATTAGTGACACTAAATCTAATCCCTTTCTAGGGAGCTAATTGTCAGTTCTGTCCAGTTCGTAAGTGATCAGAAGGGGAGGGAGTATGACAGTTTGACTACCCATGACCACTGGTCACCACTTATTTTTTTGGATGTTGCAGACATGGTCATTTGCCAAGGCTACTGTGCTTTTGGTGTGAGTTAATTGATGCAAAGGACTCGTCTCCCTTGTCACCTGGCCAAGACTGTGGGTCAGTTCAGAGGGTCAGGACATTTCCTTTAATTATCAATTTTAGGATGTGGAATTGGTGTCATGTTCTTTTCCAGTGGTGAAAAATGACTCAGGGTACATGTGTGCAGACCTGCTTACATGCATGTATGCGTGCCTGTGTGCATTGGTGTGTGTGTGTGTGTGTGTGTGTGTGTGTGTGTGTGTGTGTGTGTGTGTGTGTGTGTGTGTGTGTGTTGATGACATCCAACCCAGGGAGTTATACATGCTAGGCTAGCACTGTACCAATGAACTATGTCTCCCAAGCATATACTTATTCTTCTGATGCCCAAATTATCTCAAATCTGGAATTAGATATTTCTCCTAAGAGATACGATTCCTTTAATGTGGGACTGAATGCAGGTATGTTTGCTGTTTTGTGTGTGGGAGGGAAGCAGTGCTTCTTTCTGTCAGTTATTAGTAAGTTGGAAATAGATGTTTTAAAAAATTATGAATTCACAATGATATTTTCTTTCTGACTATCTTTTTTTATGGTGTTGAAATTGAACCCAGAGCCTCGAGAGTTCTAGACAACATTTTACCACTGAGCTGTTTCCCCAGCCCTATCATTAAGCTGCCAGTAATTTTTGTATTATAGGCTTTTCTTAACATCTTACAGCTCTTACATTTTCTGACAGTTGAAATCTTGGCTCTCTGTTAGGAACATTAATATAATTACTTATTTACATTACTCTCTCATGAACATGAAATTGCCTCAAAAATCCCAGTACTAGTACTTCCACCAATAACACAGCCACTGTGTAAAGTTTAAGATTTCCTTACAATATGCTTTTGGTTGTTGTTCTTATATGTGTAGATTTTTATCTCATTGGGATGGGCACCTGAGTGCCATGTGCTGAAGTCACCTGAAATGGTTCTTCCCTCTGGGTGTTCTTCTTTGAGATCTGTTCACAGTGAGACGCACTTGTTTCTGTTTTGTTTCTTCTAATAGGGCCTGCTTGGTTCTCTTTTGGAGTTTGAAATAGCATTTTGCCCAGATCTAACATTTACATGGTACCAAAATCAATCCATAGACCAGCATATCCCCAAGGGTTTTGTTCCACAGGCCATTTCTCCCGCCCCTTTGTGAGAAACCTTGCTTATTTTATTTATTTTTAATTTTTGGTTTTTCGAGACAGGCTTTTTTGCTTTGGAGGCTGTCCTGGACTCATTCTGTAGATCAGGCTGGCCTGGAACTCACAGAGATCCACCTGAGTGCTGGGATTAAAGGGGTGCGCCACCAACACCCTGCATTGCTTGTTTTATTTTTAAGACTAGCTTTTGACTTACCTTTTGTATCAGTTACAAAAGCAATATAAGCTAGGGAGAATTTCTTTTGTTTGAAGGTACAGTCCATCATGGCAGGAAGGCGTGGTGTGTAGGCAGAAGTTTCTGTCCTGCAATCTGCTCCCAAATAGCCACGCAGAAGCTTAATATTAATTACAAATGCTTAGCTAGTAGTTCAGGCTGGTTATTAGATAACTCTTACATTTCCAATTAACCCGTATGTTTATCTACGCTTCGCCTCCTGTCTTGGTGCCTTTTCTTAGTACAGCATGTCCATCTTGTTTCTCTCTGCATCTCTTAGCTACTCTCTTGACTCCGCCCTTCTCCTTCCCAGCATTCTCTTAGTCTGGTACTCCTGCCTAACTTTATCCTGCCTACCTATAGGCCAGTCAGCTTCTTTATTAAACCAATCACAGTGACATGTATTCACACAGTGTGAAGGAGTATTCCACAATGGTGGAAGGAACACCCGGCAGCTGGTGGAGTTGTCTTCCACAGGTAGCAAAGCAGGATGGATTCTGTCAGTGGACCCCAGGACCACCCACAGTCAGTACCTCCACCAGTGTGGAGGTCACAGGACAGTTAGCTTGTAGGAGTTGGTTCTCTCTTTCCATCATGTGGGACCTAGGAATCGAACTTAGGTTTTTGGTTTGGCAGCAGGCACCTTTAACCACTGAGCCATTTCACTGGTCCCATGCCTAGAATATATGTTTTTTTCTCTTTATGTTTTTCCAGACAGGCTTTTTCTGCATAACAGCTCTGGTTGTCCTGGAACTCTCTCCGTAGACCAGGCTGGCCTCGAACTCATAGAGATCTACCTGCCCCTGCCTCCCAAGTACTAGGATTAAAGGGGTTCACCACCACCAGCCAGGCCATACCTATAATTTTTTAAAGAACATGTTTATGTTGCATTGCATTTATCTTGTGTGCATATTTGGGGTTGGTGTTACATGCCCGCCATACCACGCACATAGAGGTCAGAGGACAACTTGTAGGAATTGATTCTCTTTTCCACCATGGAGTCCCAGGAATTGAACTCACGTCATCAGCCTTGGTGGCACGCACCTTTAGCCTCAGAGCCATCATGCTTTCCCTAGAATTCTTTTATATTCCCTATATAAAGTAGGCCCGAGTACACAATCATGTGTCATAGAGCCTGGCCGTCCTCACTGTTAGCAATGGTTACATTTTGCATGGTCACAGCAAACAGCAGACACTGCAACCTTATTCTGACTGGAAAGGTACAGTGTTATGTTCTTACGAGCCCCTGGATGCAACATGTTTTATCAGTCAGTCAATTCATAACCCTGTTTTATGTGTGACTCTGCTTAAAGACACCGTGTTTGCTTAATACATACTTCTGAGTCATTAGCGCTGAGCTCAGCCAACTGCACTATAACTCATTCCTGAACTGCTCCGGGAACATGCACATCTCGGCTAGGCACATTGCAGCTCTCTTGTGCATATGAACGCTAGACAGCACTTAGCACTTCACTCGGGGCCATTGCCCACAATGAAATCACTCACAAAGATATGAAAAGTAAAAGCTCTGGAGCTCAACGGAGAGGTCAAAGGACACTTATTAATAGTCTCAGAGCTGAAACAGGATAGCAGAGTGATTTTGTTTGACCTCAACAAGAAATGTGTGCATTGGAGCAGGCTCCTGTGTGTGTGTGTGTGTGTTATGCATGTGTATGTGTTCATATGTATATGTGAAGCTATGTGTGCATGTGGAGGCCATGCACTGATATCAGGTATCTTTCTGGATTGCTTGGTTTTTCTTGAATTTGTTTTGTGTATGTGTGTGGGCACCCTTGTGCCATGGTGTACATGTGGGAGTCAGAGGACAGCTTTGGGGACTCAGTTCTCTCCTGCCTCCCGTCTGAGTCTTGAGGATCAAACTCAGATCCCCAGGCTTGGTGGGGAGCATATTTACCTCCTGGGCAATCAATTTGGTTCCAACTTATTTCTTTGAAACAGCATCTCTCACCAAACCTGGAGCTCACTTCTTCAGAAAGGCTAGAAGGCTGGCCACGAGCTCAGGGAATCCTCCTGTCTCCACTTCCCTCTCACTAGGATGTAGACGAGTGTTGTGCTAGGTTTTTACAGGGGTGCTGGGGACTTGAGCCCGGGGTTTACGCATCAAGCACTTGACTGGCTAGCTCTCTTCCCAGCCCTGTAACTTGTATGCTTTCTAAGTCTATTTCTTTTTGTAGATTTAAAAAAAATTAATTTTGTGTGTGTGTATGTGTATCTGTGTGGGAGTATTTGCACAGGAGGGCAATTGCCCATGGAAGCCAGAAGAGGTGTTGGATCTGGTCTGGCTGGAGTTACAGGCTGCCCAACATGGGTTCTGGGAACTGAACTCTGATTCTTTGCAAGAGCAGTCTGCACTTTTAATCGCTGAATCATCTCTCCTGCATGTCTGTTTCTATCCATAGGTGATTCCAAACTGGCTCAAATATTGATTTTGAGGTTCAAAAACTCCCTGAAGGGAGTGACTTTGGCATAATCTGTAAATAAAGAGGATTGGCCCTGTCAATCTGAGTTAGCCTGGGACTAGTTTCCTTCCTGGGCTTCATTTTCCTTGTACACCACTGGCGAGCCTTACAGTTTTCTCAGGGCTATCGCTCCAGTCCCCAAGTGAGTCCCCCACCAACCCCCCAAGATAGGGTCTCTCTGTGGCTTTGGAGGCTGTCCTGGAACTAGCTCTTGTAGAGCAGGCTGGTCTCAGACTCACAGAGATCCGCCTGCCTCTGCCTGCCTCCGGAGTGCTGGGATTAAAGGCGGGCGCCACCAACGCCCCAGCTCCCCACCCCTTTTCACTTGGCTTCCTGTAGCTGGCCAGGTCCTGAGCTGGTGGCCTTCCCTTGCAGGTTTGTGGACTTTCACGCGGCTGCTTCCACGTGCTCTCCTTCCCGAGCCTCTCTGCTTACCGGCCGGCTGGGCCTACGCAACGGAGTCACGCACAACTTTGCCATCACCTCTGTAGGGGGGCTTCCCCTCAACGAGACCACCTTGGCCGAGGTGCTGCAGCACGCTGGCTATGCCACTGCCATGATAGGTAATGTACCCTGGGGAGTTGCTTCAAGATCTCAGGGTCTCTGGATGTGCCTTCTCTGCTCGCTTCTGCTTTTTTTTTTTTTTTTTTTTTTTTTTTGGTTTCTTGCTGGGTAGGGATGCCCTCAGCTCGCTGTCCATAACTGGGAAGGCCTGAGAACCTGTATAGAGCTCTTGTCCTCCCATGATAATAAGCTTCGTGGTAAGTGATTGCATCCATTAGGTCAGACGCTCAAGGATACCGTTGGGAGCTTTTCCAGACTCTCCTGCTGTACTGAGCATGTGGCTGCTGTGCGCGCTCCTGTGGCTGCAGGGCCTCAGCTTCAGGTCCTCCACTGTAATTAGGTTCAAGGAGGGGGAGGGGAAGAGAATGAATGGGTCCCAGCCTCGTGTACCCACCCACTCCTACCAAGAAACAGAATCTTTTGCTTAAGATAAGAATCCGTCCTTCCCAAGAACTGGGCTTAAATGGTACCTACCATCCAGACTTGGGTAACATGGCTACAAGGTTGGGAAACTGGGGACAGGATTGTAATAATTGACTTGGCCTGGGCACGGTCATCTTGGACAAACCGATGGTTCCGGGCTAGGGGTGAGTCCGTGGTGAAGCACCTACCCAGAATGCACAGTGCACTGGGTGCTGTCTCCATAGCAAACAGTCCTAACCTTGCATCTGCCCTGCCAAGCTGCAAAATGTTATTGGGAGCATAAATGAAGACATGGATATCAGATAGGAAAACAGCGGCCAATTCCCCGCTGTTCAAACGCTCCTTCCCCTTCCTCTCTTCCTTGTTTCCTTTCTTTCCTCCTCTCTGTTTTGTTTTTGGAAACAGAGTCTCATGTGTTCCAAGACGGCCTCAGACTCGTCATAATGCTGAGGATGACAATGAGCTTCTGATCCTCCTGAGCGCTGGAACTTTAGGCATGTGCCACCATGTCCCGTTTTACATGGTCCTAGGGATGGAACCCAGGGCTTCACGTATGCTCGGCAAGCACTCTATCAGCTGCGTCCCTAGCCTTGTTAGTTTCTGAAACAGGGGCTTATTACGTAGCCCAGGCTGGCCCCAAACATACAGTCCTGTTTGCAGCCTCAGAGTGATGGAATTCCAGGTTTCCTTTCCTGGTGTGTGTATTTTAAGGGACCTCTTACTCATCGTGAACTATGTTCTGGCCCTGGGTTGCGTTCATTTACATAGGACTGTTACTCTCCTATTATAGAGCAAGAGAACTATGTTTTGAACCTGAGGATACCTGCTTCACATTCCTGCCCGACACAGGTGGTGTCCTTGTCATCACAGGACCTGACCTCGGATGCTGGGACCTCCCTGCCTGCCTCTCTAGCAGGTGCGGAGACCACCCAGCAGTTCTTACAGCCTCCTTAGCCTGTTTGTGCGTGTTTACTTTCGGAGATCTGATTCCAACGGGATTCCTGTTTCTACCATAGTGAAATGGCAGGGGAGGGTGTGCCACAGACATGTGACAGTGAGGGTCCCTGTGGATGAGACTCTGGTCTCTGGAGCCTTCTGTGCTAGCTTGGAGGTTTCTTTACACAGACCAAGGGCTGGCATCTCTGGTGTTTCCTTCCCCACTCTGAGCTCAAAGGCTTTGCATTCTTTTATAGGCACAAGCGCATGATGATCTTTGTTGTTTCAGAAGGAGAAGTCTCAGTCAGCGGAAGAAGGGACCAGTTAAAGATTATTTTCTCTTTCTAGCTTCCCGTGTGACTAGTTTCATGTCAAGCTGACCCAAGCTAATGTCATCTGAAAGGAGGGAACCTCAATTGAGAAAATGCCTCCGTGAGATTCAGCTGCAGGGCATTTTCTTAATTTAGTGATTGATGGGGAAAGGCCCGGCCCATTGTGGGCGGGGGTCATCCCTGGGCTGGTGGCCCTAGGTTCTCTAAGACAGCAGGCCTAGCAAACCTCAAGGAGCAAGCCAGTAGGCAGCACTTCCCTTGCGTCAGCTTCTGCTTCCAGGTGTCTGCCAAGCTTGAGCTCCGGTCCTGACTTCCTTTGGCGATAAACTGCGATGTGGAAGTGCAAGCCCAGCAAACTCTCTCCTGCTCAGGTCGCTTTTGGTCCTGAGGTTTCATCACAGCAACAGTAACCCTGACTAGGATACTCCTCCTGGCTCCTACCCTGAGGTGCAATTACGCTGACACCAGTGCCCAGAAGGCACATGAAGCTCCCCCTGGGAGTTGCCTGTTACAGACCTATTAGATACATCCTTTTAATCCCCGGAGCCAGGACTGATTGGGTCTCTGGACTGCCTGATACTAGAGCCTTATACAAAGCAGGGGGCTGGGCTCTTCTTCATCTGCTTTGGTATTATGGTTCCCTTTTGCCTTTAAACACCAAGGAACCCGCTGATCACAGGTGTCTGTATGGCTTCCCCCCTCCCTCACTCCAAGCATCACCTTTTGCGAGCCATGAATAAGATAGGAGCATCTGCTTGCTCAGGAATGAGACCCACCAAAGGCCTCTGGGGTCCCTCCACAGTGCTCAGTGCAGCTTCGGCTCTTCGTCTGCGTTCATGTGTTTTTACCCCGTCCCTCTTCATAGCATTTTTGTATTTTACGATAATATGTGTACTTGTTTTCAGAAACACTTGCTCGTGTGTCCTAGCTTCGAACTCCTGTATGTAACAAGGTTCTTTGTCCCGGCTGGTCCCACCACCCTTCAGCCCCAAATGAACACACAAAGACTTGTGTTAATTATTAAACGGTTGGCTGATGGCTTGGGCTTCTTATTGGCCGGCTCTGTCTTAGTTGTTAACCCATTTCTATTAATCTGTGTGTTTCCACGTGGTCTTGGCTTACCAGAGAATGCCTGGTGCATCCTCTCTAACTGGGTTTCTACCTAATGGCTCCGTCTGCCTACATTTCCCAGAATTTCCCTCATCTCCTAGCCTTGCCTACCCTTACTGCCTGGCCAATCTGTCAACCAGTGTTTTATTCATCAACCAATAAGAGAAACACATATACGGAAAGACACCTCTCATCACTTATATAACCTAAACCGGCCTTAAACGTCTGAACTTTCTGCCTCTATGTCTTAGGCACTGTAATAAACATGTGCCACCATGCCAGGCTGTCCTCAGCTCGCCTGCCTTTCCTCCCTCCCTCCTTCCCTCCCTTCCTCCCTCCCTCTCTCCCTCCCTCCCTTCCTCCCTCCCTCCTTCCTTCTTTCCTTCTCCTTCTTCCTTCTCAATTTATTATTATTTTTTTATTTTTTATGTTTCTGAGACAGGATCTTACTATGCAGTCCTGACTGGCCTTGAACTCACTGTAGACCAGGCTGACCTGGAACTCAGAGATCCACCTGCCCCAGTTTTTTTGAGTGCTGTTACTAAAGGTGTGCACCACCACACACATCCTTAACTGTTTCTTGAAAAGGCTTGTTTTTCAGCTGGGTTTTGGTTTTGGTGGTGGCACACGCCTTTAATCCCAATAGACGCAGGCATATCTCTGTGAGTTTGAGGCCAGCCTGGTCAACAGAGCTAGTTCCAGGACAGCCAAGGCTATAAAAAGTAATCCTGTCTTGAAAAACAAAACAAAACTTGTTTTTAAGATCCACAGAATAGAGTTGGGCATGGGGGTATATAGCTTAGCTCTCAGGAGGTTGAGAGAAGAAATCTTGAATCTGAGGCCAGCCTAAGCTACATAGTAAGACCCTGAGTTAAGAAAACAAAACAGTTGGCAGTTGCAAGAAGGGGATAATGGACCGGAACAGGTGCCCATCTAGACTCACTAACTTCATTTTTGCTCTGCGCGTTTTCTTTAAAAGGTAGTTTGGTTGTGCCTTACTAAGGCCACATCAGATAGTTTACGGGGTGTCTGCTGCTGGCTGGCTTCCCTCCTTTACGTTGTCAAAGGTCACCACAGCTTAGATCTTTGGACAGATTATACATCTCTGGCCCGCTTGCCTTGGCAGCGGTTTCCTGAGATCTAGTCCTCAAAGCAAATGAGCAGATCAGAGATTCTCACATTGTCAGAGCTCTGCCCCGCATGGCCCAATTATCCCCACAGACCGAGTGCCCTGGTGGAGCCGTCCCCTGCAGGTGGCTGAGTTTCTCATTTGCTGCCCTGCGGGTGTCTCAGTGCTAGAGCTACTGGGGGAAGTGGCCTCTCCTCTGGCCTCTGCACACTACTGATGGCGACATTATCCAGAGACAAATATCCTGAGGCCGGGCGGGGTGGGGACCGGCACCCGTCTTCTTCATCTTTCACAGGGCGTCGCAAGCCTTGACGAGGGGATAGGCTCAGCTGGGCAGCATCAGTGGGCTCCTGGGAAGAGAGACCATGCCCGGCTCATCTTTCCCGTGTGGTCCTGAGTCATCCCGTCCTTGCTTGTCTCCTGTCTCCCTGTGGGATCTCTTGGGGTCCCAGAGAGCAAAGTTCAGCAAGCACACCGCACTGGAAGGTTCGCTTTGTCCTCACTGAAGTATGAAGGTGATGAGAACCCAGTATGTGATCAGCTTCTCGAAGAGTCTCCTCGTTTCCACTGCGCCCCATCTGAATGTCTCCCTCTTTCTCTTTCCACAGGCAAATGGCATCTTGGGCACCATGGCTCTTATCACCCCAATTTTCGTGGTAAGAATCCTTTTGCAGTTTGTTCCCTGGGAACTACAAAATAATGGTCCCCGTGAAAAAGAACTCTATGAGCATTTGAAGCCATTGTATCCCCTGGGATTATTCTATGTTAGGACATCTTTGCTTCAAAAGTCACTTAGGTACATGCAGGGCACCAGTGCCTACATCCTCACATCTCTCTTTCTAGAACCTTCCCTGGTCCCCTACCTTGTTGTCTGTCTGCCCAAAAAGGCTAGTCCCCTGTGGACCCATCCATTTCCCTCTGTCTCCCAGTTCTTCCCACCTTATGGAACATTCCGTGAATTCCCAACAGCACAGGTAGAAAGAAGCTTTAAAAAAATAATCTGATGGTTTGCTGGAACATGAACCTGTGTCATGGACCCAGATAGAGGAAGCTGCCTCCTGGCCTCCTCCTGAAGCTGCTTGTATCCTCAGACCTCTCTCTCACCTTTGGAGAAAAAAGGTCAAGACCAGGCTGTCAAGGTGGATTGCTCAGTGACACACTCTCTGAATGTTAAATTTGCCAAAATACAGGTGTTCTTTCCAATTTGTAGTTTCTGCCTTTTCCCTTTGCTTATGGGAATCCACAAACTGCCCCTTAGAAAGCCGTTTACCATGTCAGCACAGGTAACCCTTGGCCCTACATCCGTCTGTCTGTCTGTCTTCTCCTACCAGCTTATACACAAATAGGTGGCCTTTTCCTTTAGTGGTAGTCTCAGACTGTTTTGCCAACTTCTATGTCACCTTGACCCAGTCTGTCCCTAACTGTGCAAAGGGCTGCATTGTGCCTGAAGGATTCTTTGAAAGGATCACAGAGGGCAGAAGATGAAACCACACCCTTAAAGATGACCAGGAGGAAAATAACACCAAGTCTGTCCACGGGCAACAACATACTCCAGAAAGTAGGTCTTACTCTCCGTGTGAATAGATCTATCGGTGACATCTTGAGCACTGTTCCTGGAGTCCTGAGCAGAGAGGCACACTGAGTCTGTGCCCTGCTTAGGAGAGGGGGTTCTCTGAAGGGTTTGTGAGTCTGACCCAGGAGTAAGTAGTGGGAAGAAAGAGACCACCTTGCTGCCTTTGCACCAAATAGTGCTGGAAGCCTTCTTGCTTGGACACTGTGGGGTTTCTTAGTTGCTACCTTCTGTCTCTCCCTGCTTTTGTACTCTGCCCATGTACACTATCCTGGTTCCCATGGACCCCCTTCTTTCCCTTCCAAACCCATCATAGGCTATGGCAAACATCACACATTCTTCATATGCATCCAAACTCCCCCTCACCCTTGGTTAGAGACCAGGGCTCCAGCAAACACTGAGGCTTCTCACTACCTCTGGGGTCTGAGGGCAGTGGATGTCTAAATTAGGAGTTAGTGTACAGTGTGGGCCAAATCCAGCAAACTGTTTCTGTAAATGCAGGTTTTTGGAAACAATTGTGCTCATCTTTGTGCATATTGCCCAAGGGTGTTTTGTGCTTCAGTGACATCAGAGGCCATCACAGAGACTTCTTGCCAATGAAACTGGAAGTATTTACTCGTCTTGACAACAAGATGACAACAGTTCAGGGCTCTGTCATTTACCTGTGAGGGATTCAGATCCATGTATACAAAGAAGGCTGACATGGAGCTATCCGGTTTTCTTTGGTGCTGGTACCATTTACCAGCTGTTCCATATATACTAGTCTAGTTTCTTTTCTGCTGTTATGAAAAATGCCATGACCAAAAGGAACTTCAGGAGAAAAGGGTTTATTTGACTTACACTTCCAGGTCGTAGTTCATCATGGAAGGAAGTCAAAGCAGGAACTTAAAGCAGAAACTACAGAGGAATGACGCTTGTTAGCTTGCTTTCAGACCTGTGGCTTTCTTATAGAGCCTGGAACTATCTGCCTTGCCTAGAGAATGGTGCCGCCCACGGTGGGCTGCGTCCTCCCAGCCAATCTGATCTGGGAGGTTCCCTTAAGGGGAAGGCCTTGTCATTCATGCCGACAGAGAGTCTGGAGGCTGTGATTGGACTGTGAAAGAGGAAGGGGCTAGCAGGGAGTGGTGAGGAGTGGGGTGTTTTATGGGAAGCTGTACTGTGGCTATGCTGGACCGCTTCTGTATAGCTTCATTGGTAAGAGCTACAGAGCAGGCAATTCCAGACAAGGCTACTGGGATTCCAGGGTGTGAGCCACATGAGAAACAGGGTAGGAAACGTGCAGGTAGAGGAGGCAAGAGGCAAGAGGCACATGCAGAGCTGAAGAGGCCACGGCCACCCCCCCGCTTGCCAGGCCCAGTCCAGCAGAGCCTGTGTTGTAGAGGGACAATGTCAGGAAGACCTCAATACAAGGAATTTGGGTTACAACATTGACTTTCTTACTTCATTCCATTCCACCTCCCAACCTTTAGAGCCCTGGCTTAGACGCCCATCCTTTAGGAAGCGTGTTGAGATATTGCTGCTATGTCTACCACACCCACCACATCTGGGAATATCTTCTTCCTCTGACCTTTCTTCTCCTCAGGAGCCAAGATCTCAGTATGTAATCCAGGCTGGCCTCATTCTCCGTTATGCTGGGATTATACGCCTACACCATCATCCACTGACTCATCCATTTCTCATAGCTTGGCATATCTTACTTACTTCCTTTGTTATAAATTACATATTTAATTTTGTGTATACATACACACATGTGTGCTGGAGCATGCATGTGGATGTCAGAGGACAATTGTAACAGGCTTTCTTTTGGGCCACCAACCAGCTCCCAAACCATGACCCAGAGACTTCTTTTCTTATTCCTCATGAATGCTCAGCCATATCTTACGCTTATCCCACTAGCTCTTTTTTTTTTTTTTTTTTTTTTTTGGTTTTTCGAGACAGGGTTTCTTTGTGGCTTTGGAGGCTGTCCTGGAACTAGCTCTTGTAGACCAGGCTGGCCTCAAACTCACAGAGATCCGCCTGCCTCTGCCTCCCGAGTGCTGGGATTAAAGGCATGCGCCACCAACGCCCAGCCTTGTCCCACTAGCTCTTACAACTTAAACTAACTTGTTTCTTTTCATCTACATTTTGCCCCGGGGCTTTTTACCTTTCTTTCATTCTGTGTGGTCTACCCTGTGTCTGTCTGGTAGCTACCTGGCCGTCCTGAGTGTCTTTCCCTCTCTTTCTCCTCCTACATATTCTCTCTGTCCTCCAGCCCAGCCTATCCCTCTACTGCCTAGCAATTGGCCATCCAGCTTTTTATTAGACCAATCAGGTATCTTAGGCAGGCAAAGCAACATATCTTTACGTCGTTAAACAAATGCAACACATCTTTGCGTTGTTAAACAAAAATTCCACAGCAGACGACTCTTGGGACTTAGTTCTCTCCTTCTATAATGTAGTTCTGGTGATTGAACTCACATCTTTAGGCTTGTTGGCACCTTTACTGCTGAGCCATCTCACTGGCCCCATATAGAAAGCTTCCCAAGGGCAGACTTTTGATCCCTTAAGCTATCATATATACAGTGGCTCTCCCTCTTTTTTAAACCAAGCACTTACCACATGTGTTCATAACTCTGGAGGATGTTAGATGGTCAGCAGTTCTTGATACTTCCTCCCCCCTCACAGGACACTTCACAAAGCTAGTCTTACAGCCAGAACCCAGCAAAGTGATTTTCTGTGCATACTTCAAAGGGATATTAATCAAATCCTCTTTTAATTACAAACGCTAGAGCACTACAATATTAAATCACAGGAAATTAAATTTTGTTGTGGGTGTAAGAGGGCAGGCATGCCGAGAAGCAGCAAGTGGGGGTGCTAACCCATCGCCCCTCTTCCAGGTTTTGATTACTACTTTGGAATCCCGTATAGCCATGACATGGGCTGCACTGACACACCCGGCTACAACTACCCTCCCTGTCCAGCGTGTCCCCAGCGCCATGGCCTATGGAGGTAAAACTGTTCGATGCATTAACTTGTGGGCTCTAAGTCAAGGTGAAAACCTGAGTTCTAGAATAAGTGAACCAGACAGACATGGACAGTTGAGGCAGCACACGAGATAAAGAAGACATTGACAGCACATGAGATAAAGAGTACATCCAGGGAAAATTTTTTTTCTAATTTATTCTCCAATGCAAAGATGAGAACTACAATTTTTTTTATGTTGGAATTTTCCAGACTCTCTGAATTGTTTAGCTCACCTGGGGAGAGCATGATGCCTGCCAAGATCTCACAGGTGGAGCCTCCCTCCTCTGCCTGCTGGTTTTGCTCCTAGACTACATACTGTTATTTCCCCAGCCAAGACTTGGGACATGGACAGAAATAAGGAGAGAGAGGGACACACACACACACACACACACACACAGACAGAGAGAGAGACAGAGAGACGAGAGATAGAGACAGAAAGAGAGAGAAGAGCGATACAGAGAAAGATAGAGAAAGACAACACACAGATGGGGGAGACAGAGAGAGAAAGGCATACACTGAGACAGAGAGGGAAGAGACATAGAGGCAGAAACAGAAAGAGAAAAAGAGATACAGAGAGATAGGAAGACATAGCCAGAGAGACACAGGCAGAAGAAAGAGAGAAAGACACACACACACACACACACACACACACACACACACACACACAGATGGGGGACCCACATACACAGAGACAGAGACAAGGGGAAAAAGATAGAGACAGAGAGATGGGGAGATAGAAAGAGGCAAGCAGGAGAGAGAGAGAGAGAGAGAGAGAGAGAGAGAGAGAGAGAGAGAGAGAGAGAGAGAGTTGGGGGAGACAGAGACACACAGAGAGAGGGAGACTGTTGCTAAGCCTTACTGAGATAATGAATTAGCTCAGTCCCTGTGCTCCTCCTTCTCAGAGCTTGCGCTGTCATTATTCCTGAGGCCACAGGTGTCTGAACTGCTTGGGGAACGTCTCAGTTGACTTATTAAATAGCCTAATAGTTAATATAATAATGGCTATTTATTGAGAAGTTGTTACATCCTGGGCACTCCCTACCTTACCTGTAGTTCATAGGACCAGTCTGCCTTGCCTAGGTCACACCAGAGGCAGCAGCAGATAAAAATCGACATTTTTAGTCTGAGTCTCTCTAAGTCTAGGGCCCATGCCCTGAGGGTTTGCTTCTTAGCATGCGGCTGTTGGACCAATGTTGTGGATGTGATTACCTAGGTGCACAAGACACATGAAGCAACAGACCCCTCCTAGGTGACAGTGTGAAAGGCTGTGATGTGTCACACCCTTCTTACATAGCTGTGTGGCCTGGGGGGGGGGGTCACATCTGCAACCCCGTGTGGCTATATAATGGTATGAGATATTTCAACCAATGTTTCCCTTTCTCCCCCTCATTCTCTCTCTCATCTGTATTATCATAAAACAGAATTGAAAGCATTGGCTTGTTGGGTTGGACTCGAAATGGCAGTGTGTAGAGAGACGACTTTTCCTTGCCAGCCTCTTGGTTTTTCCCCACCAGTCTCCTGGGCTCTGCCGCGTTGTAGTCCCCAAATAACACACAAGACGCTGTATTAATTATGAAGCTGTTGGCCTTGCTTGTTTCTTACTGGCTAGCACTGACTTAAGTATTTATCCCATAACTGTTTTTTTTTTATTCCCCCCCTCCCTATCCCATAACTGTTAATCTAAGTATTTCTCTTACTGGAGAAAGGTTCCAGACATCTTACTTCTCTGGCAGGCTACATCGTGACTTCCTGTGTTTCTCCTACCCAGAGTCCTTCTGGACTCCTAGTCCCACCTACCTTGCTTCCCTATTGGCCAACAGTGCTTTATTGACATATACACAGGACTTCCCCATCATCTCCTCTTTTCTGTCTAAACAAAAGAAAGGTCTTAACTTTAACATAGTCAAATTATATATAACAGAACAGTTATCAAGTAAGAACACAGTTACAATATTTTGTCTATCAACATTTAGCAAGATTTAAAGAAAATATCATCCATCCCATCCTTGTGAGTCCAAAGTTCTATATGTAGCTTATCTTTTATCATAACTAAGGAAAACTATAATTATAACTATTTGCCTTCAATTCTATCAAAGACCACAGAAGGATAATATATAAACACTAGGATTGACAGGGACATCTTGCTGCCTGAGCAGTTACCTGAAGTTTCTCTGTAATGTTGGGGCATCCATCTTCAGCCCATAGGCCACAGTGTATCTGGAAAACTTTTCAGCAAAGCAGGAAGTCTCAAACTGTCCATCTGCATTGGCAGTCTGTCAGTCATTTTTTTGTGTCCTGCAGAAAGTCCCGTAGACTCTTCCATGAAGCAGGAACCCTGTAAGACTGAGTTCAGCAGTCACTTTCCTGTGGGTCCTGCATGTCCAGTTTATACAACAACAGTCAAGCAGTCCAGGCAAGAGCAGTTCTTGCCCAAATGGCTAATCTTGCCATGTTGAAAGCAAACTCCATAACAAGTTTCTTCGATGCCCATCTTCCTCTCAGACCTAATTGATGTGCCAGGAGCAGACATTTCTCATTGTCAAGAAAAACCCTAAACCATTTTAAATGCCATTTTCTGAAGGTCTTTGAAAGGTTTGAAGACTATCTATCTCAAATATAGAAAACCTAACTTACCTAGCTATAAGTTCTGATTATTATAGGTAACTATCTATAATTGGCATTTAATTATACATTATATTTTTAAAATAAGTTATACAAACACAATACCTAAACAAGAGGAGAAATATACGTATCACAAAACTTAAATTTGTATCAATAAATGAAAAACCATACCAATACAAAGTAGTTATCCTTCTGTGGTCTTTGATGGAGTTGAAGACAGATAGTTGTAATTATAGTTTTCCTTAGTTATGATAAAAGATAAGCTACATATAAGACTTTAGACTCACACAGATAGGATAGATGATAAAATACTTTCTTTAAATCTTACTAAATGTTAATGGACTAAATATTGCAACTATAGTTCTTGCTTGATAACTGTTTTATGTAATTTGACTATGTTAAAGTTAAAACCTTTCTTTTTATTTAGACAGAAAAGAGGAGATGATGGGGGAAGTTCTGTGTATATGCCAATAAAGCATTGTTGGCCAATAGGAAAGCAAGATGGGTGGGACTAAGTGTCTAGGAGGATTCTGGGAAATGTAGTGAGGAGACTGGTCACCATGTGATCTCCCAGGAGCAATGGGCACTCAGGGATGCATCCTCAAAAAGGTAAGTCCTTATAAAATATATATTAGTAATTACGGGTTAATAATCAAGTCAGAGCTAGCTGATAAGAAACCAAGCAAACAGCCAACAGCTTCATAATTAATATAGTGTCTTGTGTGTTATTTGGTGGCTGAAAGTGACAACAGGACCCAGGCAGCGGGCAGGACGTCTACGCGGTACAGGGAAGGGAAAGCCATGGCTGATCTGCTAAATCCCTCAGGACCAGCTGTTTCGTATCTACGTGTGTCACTGCCCTAACTAACGCTTTCTGTGATTATTTAGGATGTGACAGTGAGTGCTCCCCCCTGTGTTTCCACACAGGAGCCCCGAGAGGGACTGTTACACAGAAGTGGCCCTTCCTCTCTATGAAAACCTCAACATCGTGGAGCAGCCTGTGAACCTGAGTGGCCTTGCACGGAAGTATGCAGAAAAGGCAGTGGCATTCATTGAGCAGGCAAGGTAAGGACAAGTTCCCTGCTTTTGTCCCCTCTTACACACACACACACACACACACACACACACACACAAAAGCACACACAGTCCTCCCACCTCAGGTCTATCAGGGCTGAGGCTGAGTTTCATGCTTCAGCGAGCACACCTGCATGTCTCCCAGATGCTAGTAACACGAATGATCCTGGGTTAGAAGTTCCTGGGGTATGTTCTTGGCCTTCCTGTGACCCTCTGACTGTCCTGCCTTGATTAGCACCATGGTTGTGGCCATTTTTTTTCCTTCTCCCACTAGAGTGCAAGTTCCTTGAGGATAGGGCCTGCCCTTGCATTCAGGATACTTTCCCAGGGTATTTGTTGAATTCATTTGTTAGCAGGCAGTATAAGTTCTTTACTGCTTCTGTAACAAGTGACCACCAAGTGGTTACTAAAACCAATAGTAATTATAGTAAGTTCTCTTCAGATCTGGATGCTCGAAGTCTGAAGCCAGTCTTTGAGGGCTAACACCAAAGTGTGAACAAGCCTTTTTTTTTTGGACTCTCCAAAAATAATTTTTTGTCTGTTTGCTTGTAATGGTTGTTTCTTTTCTTTTGTTTGTGTGTTTGTTTGTTTTTTGAGACAGGGCTGTGGAGCCCAACTCCTACAAATCAACCTGTCCATGGACTCAGAGATCCGCCTGCCTCTGCCTCCTGAGTGCTAGTAACACTCAGTAACACTGCCTGGCTTTCTTCTGGCTTCTAATGGCTTCTGGCTTTTTTTGGTTTATGGCCACATCATTGTAATCTCTGCTTCTGTTGATCCCTTGTTATTTCTACATGTTGTCAAACGTTCCTACCCCTCCTCTTTTAGACAGAGTCCCAGGTAGCCCAGGCTGGCCTCTAACTTGCTATGCAACTGAGGATGTCCTTGAATTTCTGATCTCCCAGATGCTGGAATGTGTCACCATACCCAGCCTTCTTTTAAGGACACTAGTGATTAATAGTCAACCAGGGACCAGATATGGTGACATAGTTCAGCACTCAGGAATTCAAGAGCCAGAATTCCAGGGACTGGACTGCAGGTATGTTTGGGGGTTTGTTATCCAGTCTCGAATACAGGGTTCCAAATATGCACATCTACAGGGTCCACAAAGCAGGTCTGAAGAGTTAGCTCAGTGCTTAAGAGTATTGGCTGTCCTCTCAGAGTTCCCAGGTTCGATTCCAGCACCCACATGGGGGTCTCCCAACCACCCGTAACTCCAGTTCCAGATCTTATTCTTCTGGTCTCCAAGGGTACCACACATGTGTGGTGCAGAGACAGACATGCAGACAGAATACCCATGCTCATCACACAGAATTTAAAGAAAAATCTTTCAAAAAGAAGAAAGCAGGCTGAGGGTGGGGCAAACGGCAAACACACGCACGCCATCAACTGTAAACAGCAGCTACTTAGCTCCGGTCATTGATGGTGGGCGAATCCGGAAGGTGAGCCTGGGTATCAGGTCTTTCCAGTTTCCGGAAGAGACAGGAAACAGTGTTTACGATGTTAGAAACTACTAACTAAAAACATCCAAAAGAGGGCTAGGGATGGCTCAGGTTGCTAAGCCCGACAGTGTGAGTTGAATCCCTGGGACTGGGTAGGTGAAGGGAGAAAACCCACTCCCAAAAGTTGTCCTCTGACCTCCACACACTGTGGTACTCCTGAGTAAGCTAAATTGATGTTTAAAGACGGAGAGAGCCGGCAGTGACAACAAAATCCACACAGCTGAGTGTGAAGGCTGCCGATGTACATCCTTGTCCTGTCACCACAAAGAATGACTGGAAGTGTGATTGATTTTATCTGCCTCCCAAGGTCTTAAATGGTTCAAGGACACTGGGATGCTTCTCTTAGGCCCGCAGCTGTAGCTGACGTGAGCAAGAAGACAAAAATGTGCCGTGTGCTGCCTGCTCATGCAGAATTCAGATGGCTACATCTGTGGATGGCTGAGCAAACCAGCCCCTGACTGTGCAGGGTCCCACAGCCCTCGCTCAGTTGGACTTTTCCAGAGACACCCTCAAGGAGAGCAGAAGTAGTGGTGAGGGAGCCTTAGTCGTCTGTGTGTGCTCTTCATCATACAAGCCGTTATCTCAGGCTCAGATTTCAGAATGGTATCCCAGGACCTTAGAGGTTCCGTCTGAATGTCCCCCCACCAGACTTTTCTGAGAAACACTGTCAGTGTATTTCTCAGACTGCTGGGATAGATGGAGCCTTTCTGCTCTGGGAGGTTGAGCGTCTCCCAGCTTCCTGCATCTGTGAAATGGCTCGAGTTCCCTCTGCCCTATGACAGGAAGATGCTTCATGGTCGGAGAGGGCAGCTTCCTGTCAGCCTTCTGACAGGAGGGACAGCAGCTGGCTGGGGCTAGGGACTGTGTAATGCTTACATCAGTTAAGGGACTCATTAAGAGATAAATCAACTGATGTTCTCTCTGTGTCAAACAAAGAAAATAATAAGAGTTGGCCAGTTTACTAAAGTGAAAGGCAATGAGTCCACTGGCTTTTAAGCTTTACAGAAGGTAATCACAGGGTGTGCTGCAGATTTCTGTAAGATTTGACCTGCTGGTTCATCCACGACTTTCTCACATCTGTGCTGACTGGTTTTATATCAACTTGACACAAATAAAGTCATTTGAGAGGAGGTAATGTCACTTAAGAAAATTCCTTCATAAGATCAGGCTATAGACAAGCCTTGAGGGCATTTTCTTAATTAGTGATTGATGGAGGAAGACACTGCCCATTGTGGGTGGTATCATCCCTGGGCTGCTGGTACTGGGTTCTATAAGAAAGCAGGCTGAACAAGTCATGAAAAGCAAGCCATTAGGCGTATCCTCTCCTGGCCTGTCTCCTGGCCTGACTTCCTCCAGTGATGAACAGTGATGCGGAAGTGTGAGCCACATAAACCCTTTCCTTCCCAACTTGTTTTTGGTCAGGGTGTTTCTTCCCAGCAATAGTAACCCTAACTAAGATTAATACCTTCCTGGAAATAGGGCATAGAGGACTTGGAAAGTAAGGGTGGGCCAGTTGGGCATAAGAGTAGATGTTGATTTGGTGTGTTTGAAGCCAGAGTCTTCTGGGAAATCTGGTATGTGGTCAATACTCAGGATGCTGTGGGCTGTATATCTGTGTCCCCTACAGTTCAAGTGTTGAAACCCTAACTGTCAGGCACACAAGACCTGTCCGACTTTTTGACGCAGTTGTCATTTACAAAGTTTAAATTTGCAAACTGCACAAGCAAGTTACCAAAGAAAGTCACATATGCACACAAAAATCTTACATTTTGGGGCTGGGGGGATGGCTCAGAGGTTAAGAGCCCTGGCTGCTCTTCCAGAGGTCCTGAGTTCAATTCCCAGCAACCACATGACGGCTCACAACCATCCGTAATGAGATCTGGTGCCCTCTTCTGACCTGCAGGGATACATGTAGACACAATACTATATACATAATAAAAATTTTTTAAAATCTTATATTTTAAGTAAATTTATGTTTGGCAGCATTCATAGATACCCTGTGTACATGTGGCCTAAAGGGATGAAGGTTGGACACACCTTCACCTGGTGGGTTATCATTAGGAAGTGGGGGACCTTTGCAAGGTTTTTCGGTCTGGACAGGGTCAGGAGGATGGAACCCTTGTGATTGAATTAGTGCTCTTATCAGGAACCGATGAGTTTCTCACTCTCTTGAGGGTGAAAGGGAGAAAGAGTCCAAGAATGGAGACACTGGACTTCTCATGTGTTAGAACAGTGAGAGTAAATATTTGCTTTAATTCACCCAGTGCGGTGTTTCTGTTCAAGCAGTCTGAGTCAAGGCATGCATCGTTCAGGACAGGGTCCTAATGACACGGAGATGAAAGCCAAACCTTTGAGAGCTGGCGCCTAGGCTTCGCAGAGTCCTTCCCTTTACTTGGTGTGCCGTTGCACAGTGTGGTGCTCTAAGCCCAGTAGCCACTGTCTCCATCCGATCAGCTGTGTCTACTTGCAGGAGACCACCAGGAATGGCCTCATTGCTGACATTGTCTCATAGAAGGAGGGGTGAGGAGGTCACCTGAGATCCCGGCAGCCTTATCCAGCTATTTGTATGTGGGAATTGCCCCAATTACACATGTCCTTGATGTCTTGGAAGGCACTAGGATGTGGGTTTGGGGAGGTAAACTGTGATGGGTACCATCTACGATGATTTGGGGAAGCCATCTCTATGCTAGATGAAGACTTTGCAGTTCAGCTACTTTGGGGTTCACCCGCACACCTGTAGGCAACTCCTCATTCATGCTCTGTAAGCCAATAAGCTTGTAGAATCCCCAGGGTGAACTTTGGTGAAATCATGTTTTAGTTTGTTGTTGTGACCTTATGTGGAGGGAGCAGACATTGTTTATGTCTCCCCAGAGAAGGGATTCTTGAAAAGCTTGCCCCCTTCCTTACCTTCATTACCCTCTCCTATTCCCTGTTCATTCCTACCATGGTGATATGTTCCCTCCCCATCTTCCTTCCCACCCCAGATGCCACCCAGCACCAACAGACGGGGCTCTAGATTCAGTGTGAAGACCCATTTTTCACCCATCTCCACCCCTCTTCTTTTTACTGCTTGAATGCTGGGGTGAATGATGGATCTTTAAGTAAATGAACTAACAACCTGTTAGCAGTCATAGCTAACGTCCCCAGTGATGCCTTGAATGGCCACCGTGCACAGAATACCATTAGCTGCTTGTTCCTCGGGTATCATGCAATCCTCTTCACCTTTATCTGTCTGTCTGTCTGTCTGTCTGTCTAGCTATCTATCATCTATCTATTTTATGAGACAGGGTCTTATATCATATGCTAGTCTTGAACTCAGTATGTAGTCAAGCATGATAGTGCAGTGCTAGATTACAGTTGTGCACCACTGTTAGTCTGGTCTCTGAAACAGATTACTGAGGAATAGGAAATCTGTTAGAAGAGCTATTAATGCCATGTTACAGGCAGTTGTGAGATGCCCAATGTGGGGGCTAGGGACTGAACCTGGGTCTCTGCAGTATGACTGACCATTCTGATTTACCGAGCCATCTCTCCAGCCCCACCCTAAGAAATTTTTACAACCCAGGCACATAGGTGTATAAAATAGATATACAAACCAACATTGACTGATAATAAATCACAAAAAGATTATTTTTAAACAATTCTGTAGCATACATATAATTTTACCATTCATCAAAGACGAAATGTGTTTACTTTTGCATGAAGATTTATATCCTCTAGGGCAGAGAGCCTCTTCAGAGTTCATTGATGTTACAGTTTTATAATCATGTTGAAAATACCATGTCACACAAATATGTAGTACAAAGTGTCAGAAGTATGTTTAACACCATTTTAGAAATGATTGGGAAGGCTGTCCTGATGGTAAGCCAAAATTCATCGAGTGATTAAAAAAGAAACTCAAGTTAGCAACTCAAACAGCTTTTTTAAAATTTTATTTTTATTGGGTATATGAGTGTTTGCCTGCATGAAGGTATATGCATCATGCATGCACAGTTCCTGAGGAGACAGGGTGTCAGGGTTGGATGGGGTGGGATAGTTGTATTGGAGGTTAAACGTCAGGCCTTGTATAGCAGACAGGTGTACTACACTTAAGTACATCCTCAGGCCATTTTTTTTCCTTTTCATTTTGAGACAAGGACTCACTAAGTTTCCTAGGCTTGTCTTGAACTCACCATGTAGCTCAGTCAGGCCTTGAACTTGTGATCTTCCTAATTCAATTTTCTGAGTAGCTAGGCCTGCCCCATGAGACCATGGAGTCTTTGCTAGGAGGCCACCCAGTTTTTTCAAGCCTTTTACCACAAATTTTCCGGGTTTAGTATTGGAGAGCCTTGATCTGAATGCCCCCTGTGGTCACACATATCTTAGGGATTCGTTATAGCTATATTTTCTAGAACAGTGGTTCTCAACCTATAAGTTGCAACCCCTTTAGAGGTCAAACTATGATTTTACAGGGGGTGCATATCAAATATCAGATATTTACATTACAATTCATAACAATAGCACAATTACAGTTATGAAGTAGCAATGAAATAAATGTATAGTTGGGGGGGTCCTCACAACTTGAGGGACTGTATTAAAGGGTCACAGTGTTAGGAAGGTTGAGAACCCCTAGAACCAACACAGTGGTCTGGATTCTTGGACTCTGAAGTACAGCAAAGAGCACAGGCTTGCTCTGGGCAGATGAGTTGAAATCCAGGCTGTCTATTACTAGTTGCACAACTTGAAGGAAGGTCCTTAGATCCCTGTAAGTTTCAAAACCATTTCCTGAAAGGGGAGATGGGGGTCTACCCTGAGTACGGACTTAGACAACAGTCCTGTGTAACAGCTCTTACTATCACAGAGTACGAGCCATCTTACGGTTCAGTACTTTTCTAATGGACTAGCCAGATGACTTCCCCATTTCTTTTGAAGATTGTAGACAAATACACTATCTTTGAGCCTTCAGGGCAAGGCCTGTGGTGGGATGGTAGTGGATTTTCTCAGAGTTCAGGAAGGACTGTTGAGACCCTAGACAAGACCAGCCTCCTGCAGAAGCTCTGAGTTTTCTCGTTTCTTCCAGCGCCAGTGGGAGACCCTTCCTGCTCTATGTGGGTCTGGCCCACATGCATGTGCCCTTGCCTGTGACACCGCCATTGGAAAGCCCACAGAACCAAAGGCCATACCACGCAAGTCTCCGAGAGATGGACAGTCTGGTAGGGCAGATCAAGGACAAAGTTGACCATGTGGCAAAAGAAAACACTCTCCTCTGGTTTACAGGTAAAGTAGAGATGATACCCACCAGAGCTGGCTGGGATCTAGTAGATAACTGTGTAGGATCCATGGAGAGTCGAGTCCAGTCATGTGGCATCTTTAACAGGGAAGGGGCTCACTGTGAACTTGGGAACTGGGTTGCCTGAGTGCTTAGCCTGCTGTCTATTGAGTTCTCTTACCTGCTAAAAGAGTCCTTTAACATCGTCTCCCTGGTCCCAATGATTGTGGCTGCTACCGTAGTCAGGTGGCTCTGGAACTGAATTAATGATCCCTTTAAAGGGCTCACGTATAGCTAGGCTTGCTAATGTACAGCATTTCATAGAATTCTAGCACTTCGGGCCAGAGAGATGGCTCAGCGGATAAGAGAAATGGCTGCTCTTCCAGAGGACCTGGGTTCAGTTCCCAGCGCCCACATGGTGGCTCATAACTCTATTAATCTAGTTCCAAGGGATCCAACACTCTCACAGAATATATACAGGCAAAACACCAGTTTACATTAAACAAACAAACAAATAAATATTTAAAACAACAACAGAAGAATTCTAGCACTTTAGAGTCTAAGGCAAGAAGATCTACAGTTCAAGGCCAGGGTAGGCTGTAGAGTGAATTTGAGGATAGTCTGGGATACAAGACTCTGTTTCAGAAAAATCCAAGGTGGTATATGTATGAGGGGGTACAACACAAATATTTTATGTCTCAGGTCTCTATGTAGAAGAGTGGCAGCTGCTATGGATGAAATTTAGACCTGGCTTTTAATATATGCTAATGAGAGAGTTAAATCTACTCCACTGTCCACTGTATATTGTACACTTAAAAGATGGTGTATATGGAGTTCTGGGTGCATCAAGGATGCTTAGTGATGTGTGCATGTGGAGTTCTAGGTGCATCAAGGATACTTAGTGATGTGTGCGTGTGGAGTTCTAGGTACATCAAGGATGCTTAGTAATATGTGCATATGGAGTCCTAGATGCATCAAGGATACTTAGTGATGTGTGCATGTGGAGTCCTAGGTACATCAAGGATGCTTAGTGATGTGTGCATGTGGAGTCCTAGGTACATCAAGGATGCTTAGTGATGTGTGCATGTGGAGTCCTAGGTGCATCAAGGATGCTTAGTGATGTGTGCATGTGGAGTCCTAGGTGCATCAAGGATGGTTAGTGATGTGTGCATGTGGAGTCCTAGGTGCATCAAGTATGCTTAGTGATGTGTGCATGTGGAGTCCTAGGTGCATCAAGGATGCTTAGTGATGTGTGCATGTGGAGTCCTAGGTGCATCAAGGATGCTTAGTGATGTGTGCATGTGGAGTCCTAGGTGCATCAAGGATGCTTAGTGATGTGTGCATGTGGAGTCCTAGGTGCATCAAGGATGGTTAGTGATGTGTGCATGTGGAGTCCTAGGTGCATCAAGGATGCTTAGTGATGTGTGCATGTGGAGTCCTAGGTGCATCAAGGATGGTTAGTGATGTGTGCATGTGGAGTCCTAGGTGCATCAAGGATGCTTAGTGATGTGTGCATGTGGAGTCCTAGGTGCATCAAGGATGCTTAGTGATGTGTGCATGTGGAGTCCTAGGTGCATCAAGGATGCTTAGTGATGTGTGCATGTGGAGTCCTAGGTACATCAAGGATGCTTAGTGATGTGTGCATGTGGAGTCCTAGGTGCATCAAGGATGGTTAGTGATGTGTGCATGTGGAGTCCTAGGTGCATCAAGGATGCGTAGTGAGCATTGGCTGGGCTGGCTCTAATGACAGCAGTAATGGATTGCTGACACCACCTAAGTGGGATGTGAGAGCAGAGGTTAAGAATGGAGCTCACTGGGTCAGAGCAGAGCCCCTGTCTCTCAGAGCCTAGTAGAGATAGGATCACTGAGACAGTTTTAGTTGAGCAGTGATATGTAAGCCCAGCGCTTGCGGTGAGGGAAGGTCTGTGATTATGTGGGGTAGCCACGCACGAACATCCATGCTTATGAAGAATACTTCAAATGTAGGGATCATGTTTGTCTTTCTGTCTGATCCCTGCTGTGCACAGGGTTATGACTAGAGAGGGTCAGAAAAAGTGTCCCCCAGAGACCCACTGATTATCTTCTGTTTCTTTTTCTGGTTTCTAGGCGACAACGGCCCATGGGCTCAGAAGTGTGAGCTGGCAGGCAGCGTGGGTCCCTTCTTTGGATTGTGGCAAACCCATCAAGGTATTAGAAAGCTCAGCCGGTGGGATCAGACCCCACTTGGGAAGTCAAGTGCTGGCTGGGTGTGGGGCTTTGTCTTGGGGCCAGCTATCTTGTGTCCTGGCCTTCAGGACACTGTTATGAAGCAGGGACATAGTGGCTCACCAGTCAGCTACTCTCAGAGAAGAAACAAATTGGGACGAAGAGAAATGGTGTCTTCATTATGGACCATCTCTTTCTGTCCTTTCTCTTCTTCCCTTTAAGGACCAGCCTTTGTCCTGACAAACCAGTCCATAAGCTGTCCCGCCAATATGCTTGCCTTCATTCATGCAGTTGCGGGTGTTTTCTTCCTCTGTCCATTTTCTTCTCTTTCCCATCTTCCTCCATTCAACCATTAATTAGTTCACATCATCTATTCAAGAAATATTTAGTGCACAACTCTCTAAGTTTGGAGCTTGTTGTTGCTGTCGTTTTGTTTGACAGGGTCCCACCATATAGCCCTGGCTGACCTAGAACTCACTATATAGAACAGGTTGGCCTCGAATTCACAGAGATCCTCGTGTCCCTGCTTCTGGAGTGCTGGGGTTAAAGGTGCTTGCCACCATGTCTGGCCCTCTGCAAGGCTATTACATGTGTCATCTCTAAGCCTTGTAACCGTGAAAGGTAACTAGCAATGGCTTCACTTATACTGAAGATAGAACCCAAAGGGAGTTGAGTCACTTGCCCAAGGTCACACAGTTGGTGAGAAGATGCCAGCCTTGCCACTCTGTTCAAAGTTGGTGCTGTCCCCACATACCCAATGGCCTCCTATGGCTATTTCTGGCTCTGTGTAAAAGTACTTGAGCCTGGAGCTCAGTTCCCGTCTGTTCTGGAAAAGTTCTCAACTAGGAAGGACCCGACCTTCTGAGAAGCAGCCACACGGGAGACAGGTGTGTGGGGCAAAGGCTTGAAAAGTTCCATGTGCCTTTTGATGAAGACTCCTCCTGAAAGCATTTGTTGCAGAGAGCTAATTAGCCAAGGGCACAGTGCGTATACATGACACTCATTGCAGTAGGTTAAAGACCTAGCTGGGTTCAATTCAAGTACTCGGCAAGGGGCAGGTTTGAAGGTGTTAACCATTTAGAGGGACACTAAAGAGCCAGTAAACCGATGTTTGTTGACTTGACATATATTTACATGAGGTATTTTTCAGTGAATGAAACAAACTATAAAATAATATGCAAAGTCTATGCATGTACTTTATGTGACTATGTGTTGTTCAAATATAGCTTTATTATATAAAAGTAAGCTTAGAAAAATCTTGAATGAGGTAGCAAAACTACAGAAGGTTAACATTGATTACTCTGGGTTTAAGATGGAGTTCGAGGCCAGCCTGGTCAACAAAGCTAGTTCCAGGACAGCTAGGGCTGTTACACAGAGAAACCCTGTCTCAAAAGCCAAAATAACCAAAATAGAAAGAAAGAAAAGAGGGCGTCTACACGTGATTCCCAATTCCTCCCAAACCCATGGCAATCTGTTTTTGTTTCAAAAAAATGTAAAAGAGGGGTTGGAGGTATAGCTCAGTGGTAGAATGATTGCTCAGCATATGTGAGTTTGACAAGAAGTGCACACACACACACACACACACACACACACACACACACACACACACACTAAACCTGTAGAAAGTGGAATGGGGATTTAGCTTAGTTTATAGAGTACTTGCCTAGGATGTAGCTTCGTCAGGAGGGTGCTAACCTGGCTGTAGCTGAGTCAGTGGGGTGCTTGCCTGACATGAAGCTCAGGGTTTTTGTTCCGTCCCCAGAATCACATGGACCAAGTGTGGTAGTACGTGCCTGTAATGTCAGCACTCAAAAGTGGAGGCAGGAGGATCAGAAGTTCATGGTTACCTCTGGCTGTATAGTAAGTTCTAGGCCGACTGAGATATGTGAGACCCTGTCTCACAACAGCATTAAAAACAAGCCCAGTCCAGCGCTTCCTTCCTCGTCTGAGCACTTGTTGAGCGCCTGCTGTTTCCTGTCCTTCCTATTTGTTGAGAATCTGTTGTATGGCAGGAGCGGTACATTTTTCCAGGGATACAAGGAAAAACAAGACCTCTGACCTGAAGGAATCATGGTCTGTAATTTCACTCCTCAGTCTGTGTTGTGTAGACACTACAAGATCCTATGTGGATCTTACCAAAACGAAGTTTCCACCCAAGAGGTCATCAGTTAATGATGGTGGTTTTTGCATTTCTGTGGTACTCCAGGACAGCGCCGATATCACCAGTCACTTTGAGAGCCACCACCTAGAACGTTGTTGTCTGTGATACCCAAATCTCTGGACCTGTGGTTCCCCGAGTTAGGCGTGGTGGTGAAATGCTTGTGATTTCAATATTCAGGAGACTGAGGCAGAAGGATTGCCACCAGCTTGAAGACCAACCTGGGCTCCATAGTGAGTTCAGAGTCAGTCTGGGCTATGTAAGAGGACTGTCTCAAAAAGCCAAAACAAATAACAATAACAATAACCACAACATCAAAAAAAAAACTTATTCCCTGATTGTCAGCTGTGTGGCTTCCTCACAGGAAAATGGACCCCAGCAGTAGTGTGTGTGTGTGTGTGTGTGCGTGTGTGTGCACATGTGTTTGTACACGTGTGTTTGTGCAGGTATGTGTGTGCACATGTGTTTGTGCATGTGTATTTGTATGTGCATGTGTGTGTGTGTGTGTGTCTGTGTTTGCTATGAAACCTCAGACTCCTCCTGTATTAGCTCCATGAATGCTCAGATCACAGGCAGATGCTACCCTGTCCATCGAGTCAAGTATTGCTCACAAGGAAAGCAGAATTAGGATCTTCATCATTCAAAGAATGCCACAGTTGGGAGAGAACTTGAAGTCTGTATTCCTCTTCACTTCCTGGTAGGACATAGAGGCTGAGGGGGATGGAGGCTTTGCCCCAGTCCAGCTGGTCATGGAAGAGGGTCAAATGATCTGGGTTCATACCACAGCTCATGTGACTGTGGTTGCCCCCACCTTTCAAAACCTGGTCATTGCTTAGCTGTCTGGAAAGTCCTGTGTTGTTTCTTTGAACTCCATGGTTGTCAAGGTAAACATCATTAGTCCCCGTGACCATCGGAACTGTTCTAAATCAGTGGGAGGAGGGGTGGGAAGATAAAGAGGCCTATGGGCTTGGAAGCTTCGCTTGGACTTGAATCTCAATTCAAGTATGTAATGGGGACTGGAAACTCAGTTCTTCTGTGTTGGGAGGTGATGGCCCTCTTCATTACACAATGAGTAAGATCACATGGAGGCACTTGACAGGCACCCAGCCTGGTGCATGTGACTTCTATCACTAACCCCCATGAGACTCAGTTTCTTCATTCATAGCAGAAACAACTTGCACATCCTTCTCCAGAAGGCTGGAGATTTAGGCTGGAACAAACCATGGGAAGGACTTTCTTACAAAAGTACCAGACAGACAACCCATGACTGACCTCAGAGTGTCCTGAGTCCTTGTCTTGGGAAACGGCTCAGAGCTGGGGCCAGCTACCTTCTTGGCAAGGCTTTTTGATAAATTTTGAGACTTTCTATGGTATCTGCGGGCACAGAATTTGAACTGGTGATGGAGTGGGGACTGGGTACCACTGTCTTGTAAGAAGCCAGGGAGAAACCTTCCTGCAGCTGGAAGGGAGCTAGGTCTGTGAGTGAAGAGGGCTGGGTCCGTCTGAACCACCTGTTCCTCCTAAACCAGGGTTCTGTCTTAGGAAACCCACACACGCCCCTGTAAGGCCAGACTCAAGAGCCCACAAAAGAGAGAAGACAATGTTTTTGTAACGGAGCAGGACAAACAGTACTGGGAGCCCCGATGCTTTCTCCCCAGGCCAGCTTGCTACGTCAAGCCACGTGCTATCTTCCCCTGTTCCCAGGGCTCCCCTCCTCATCTCCCCTTTCCTTCTTGGCTAGTCTATCCAGCTCAGCTGATGGGATGAGACAGTGTCTCCTGGAGTCATCTTTTCACCCTGTGCTAGAGTGAGGATGGTCGACTTGGCATGGTTTCCGCCATCTTGGGATGAGGAGAAACTGAACAGGGTGTGTGTGTATGCGTGCGTGCGTGCGTGCGTGCGTGCGTGCGTGCGTGTGTGTGTGTGTGTGTGTGTGTGTGTGTGTGTGTGTGTGTAGGCTCAATGCAAACCAGGGTTATCTTCTCCCAATGAAAGTGAACCTGACTGCAAGTCCCTGCTGTCCCCACACTCCAGTCACCTGGTCTATCATACCTCTTTCCCCACTCTGGACCTGGCTCACAACAGAGTCAGACTCTGTACCTTGTCTCCCCACCCGATCCAACTGCTCCTCTGTCTGGAAAATCTTCCCTTGTTTTATTAGAAGAGCAGAAGTGTTCCTTCCCCTCTCTCCCTTGGTGATGAGAAAACATTCTGCTAACTTGGCATCATCTGCACTTCTAAGAGACCTTGCTTGTCTGTAATCTGACCTTATCAGACCTTCCCACTGGGACGCAGATCTTTTAGCATCCTGGGCCTCCAGTCCAGTTGTGGGAACAAAGAGAAGGTGGAGAAAGGTCAGAGGTGCTGTGTGCAGGCTGATGGAGTCGGGACAAGGAATGTTAGCTGCAGGGTCTGGCTAGGAGAGGGAAGTTGAAGTCTTTTTGTTTTCAGCCTTGGGACACTGGCTTTGCCGAATGTTCCTGTAATCACTCTTCAAGCCACTTCACCCCGGCCACAGTTCCAGGTCCCACTGAAGCCTAGCTTCTCTGTGCTTTTCTATGGGTATCCTTGGCAAGGACGTGTGCTTGTATTTAGGGAGGACGTTTGCTTTTCTGGAAGGTTATGTGGGATGTCCTTCTGTGGGCTTTTCCAGGAATTTCACATGGAAATGCCAGTGTAGGACAAGCCAGGCAGGAATACACATTCACATCTGTCAGCTGCAGGCAGGTCTGGCAAAGTGGCCTGGTCCATGCTGCTCAAATTTATTTAAGAAGGAAGATATCGGGTATACCAGAAGACTGACACATTAGTGTGCCAGCCACCA